GTGAGGGTAAGGGTCCTATTTAATGACTGAAAGCTGCAGGGTGGGGGTCCAGTTAGTTCAAATGACTTGTTTTTTGAGAGGGTTTCTCTATATAGCCCTGGCTGTCTTGGAACTCACTGTAAACCAGGATGGCCTTGAACTTGGAGATGGGACTGCCTCTACTTCCCAAGTGCTGGGATTTAAGGTGCGTGTCACCAACAATTGAACACCAGTGTTCAAATTGACTTTTTAGTTCTGTAAAGTGTGTGATGTGTTTTATTAGACAGGTTTCATATTAACTTTCTAACTGCAATTATCATATGTCTCCCTCTATTTTTTTTCTTCACCTTATTTCTTTAGGCAAGGTTTTGAGCCTGCCTATTTGATGAGACTGGCAAGCTCTAGGGATCCTCTGTCTCTGAGGATCGTGGCATGCACCACCCCAGCTAGGTTTTTTTTTTTGTTGTTGTTGTTTGTTTTTTGTTTTTTCTGAGTCTGGGAATCTGAACTTGTCCTCACACTGTACAGCAACATTTACCAAGTGAGCCATTTAGATCCTTGGGCCAGAAGAAACATCTTTAAACTGGCTCCAAATCTTCTACTTGGGAAAACAATCAACCACGTCACATGGTCTTTATAGATCACTATCCAAATTCTCCTCTTCCAGAATGGGCTTCTAGAACCGGTGCCTTTGCAGAACTGTTGGAAGACACACCTGAATCTGACCTATCTTATGAATGGAAGCTACCAATGATCCAGCTAAATTATCTTCTAAAAGCTTCAATGCATATTTTCTTTTCTTTTTTTAAAATCATTTTTTATATGAATTAGAAACAAGATTGTTTTTCATGACAATCCCAGTTCCCTTCCCTCTCCCGGCCTCCCCTACCACCACCCCCAACTAAAACCCTACCTATCATATATCCTTTTTTCTATTCTTCCCCTGACTCAACCTTTCTGCAACCTTCATGACCTCTGCATCCTTCCTCTTCTTCCCTTCTCATTCTCGTAGCTCCCTCCCGCCTCTTCCCGTGCTCTCAATTTTCTCAGGGGATCTTGACCCTTTCCCCATCTCTAGGGGACCATGTATGTCTCTCTTAAGTTCCTCCCTGTTTACTAGTTTCTCTGGCAGTGTGGATTGTAGGCTGTCAGCGCATATTTTCAAGCAACAACCTGCTGGTTCAATCCCCTGTGAGTGGTGACACAGGCAGGACAGTGTCTGATGTCATGGTTGACGTTAGGTGCCCATGGAAAACCAAGTTCTAATAGTTTGGACACAGAGGTCTGGATGAAGGGCTCTAGGAAGGGCATAAGGGCTTTGAAGTTACGGAGGAAGGAAAGGGCAACAGGGAACAAGGTGAAGATACACCCACTCTGGGGCACACTCACACCATCAGGGCTGGCAGCAAGGAGCCCATCAGTCAAGAGACAAAGGTGTCTCTGTTAACTGCAAATACCTTTCTGAAGCCAAGCAGCAAGGGACAACACTGCTCCATTTTCTGGGTTTCATCACTTCCAGTTGTGGCTAGTGCTGCCTCAAGTTTCTGGGGATAACTGAGGTGACTCTGTCATCCTGGAGCAGACTACCTCTGAAAACACTCACTACCACACATGGAGAACAGCCATGGAGACGGGTTGGGCTTGCTTGGTTTTGAACTTCTCAAAGGTGTTGGGAAGACCAGAGGCTAGCAGGTACCAGCCCATGTCCTAAGGGATAAGGAATCACATGTGATTTGGGGGTGGGGGGGAGTAGGGTCTCAAAAAAATGGGTGCTACATGGAGTTAAGGGTAGGGAATAATAAGGTACAGAGCTAGGGAATTTCAGCACAGAGGTGTGAGGTTAACTTTTGTCTATGTCGGAAGAGGCTGGTACATAAGGAAAACAAAATGGTGGCAGGCAGGCAGATGTAGGATCCACTTTAGGCCCCGTTGCCCAGGCACTCCAGAACCAAGTGGACAAGGCATCCTTGGTGCTCCTGATCAGGTTTGACTCTTTCTTTACCTGGCTCTCTCCATAGTGGGAAGACAGAGAGATGGCACTGTCCAGATGAAGCTTACCATCACCCTCCTAGGCCTGCCCTGGGCTTTGCTTGATTCAGCCCTTCAGCCTGAGTAGGCCTGGCAAAGTCAGCTAACTCACTTCGAACTCAAGCATGTTCTGCACAATGTCAGGCTTAGAAATGTTGCCTTGGAGTTAACGAAATCCCTTTTCCAATCGGTAGATTAAAGATTGGTGGCCACTCAGTGCTGTTGGAACCTTCTGATGGCCAAAGTCTGGTCTGTAGTCTTTCTCTAAGGGCCACTATGTATGACTGGTGTCCTATAAGCTGGAGTTCCATACATAAGGCCATTAGCTCCAACAGATAATTACCAAGGAGCTCCTGAGTTCCCATGCTGGCCCCACTGGGTCACAAGATGGCCCGAGCCCAGTTCTGTTAGTCAAGCTTCTAGCACAGACCCACAACTGAGCAGCTTGTCTGCCTGCAGCAAAGGCCACTTCTAAGCCCTAGTGCACATCACTAGGCACTGTCTTCTGGTGGCTTTTTTTATCCTGGCCTTATACAATGCCTCTACCAGAAGGTAGAGCCACTGAGGCACCTATGTGTGGATTGTTCAGAGTTCAGATGAACAACTGGGGCCAAAAGGGAGCTGCCTTGTGCCAGTCTTATGTTGGGCGGGGAGGGTAACTGGAGACAGAGAAGATAGCCACAGGCCACATAGCTTTGGCAGTTACTTGCTCCTGTAACTAGCATGACGACTGTACAAGGAAGTCTCTGAGTCCTTGTCCAGCTCCTGGCAAAACCTACTAGGGAGAAGCAGCAGGAAGTTAGTTAGGCAAGGCTACCTCCCAGTCAAAAGTCCATCCAGTAATCCAGAGGTTGACCCTACAGTGATGTCTGGACTGGAGTTTGACTCTTTTCCCCACAGCCACAAGGGCAAGTTGACCCTGTGATGGGCTCTGCTCCTCGACCCCACCCTGCTTCCCCACCAAAGGGACGGGAGGGAGACACCAGGCTGCAGGTGGCAGCCTGCTTTCCCTGGTACAGGGCCTTTTGTATGTATAGTAGAATCTTGGGCTCTTTACTGTGGGGGATAAACAGTAGATCCAACACAGTTTGTTGGTGCTCTGTCCTCAATTTGAGGACAAACTTACCAATTTTCAGTCTTAAAAAACAAAACCAAGCCAGGTGGTGGTGGTGCACGCCTTTAATCTCAGCACTCGGGAGGCAGAGGCATGTGGATCTCTGTGACTTTGAGGCTAGCCTGGTCTACAGCGTGAGTTCCAGGACAGCCAGAGCTGCTACACAGAGAAACCTTGTCTCAAAACAAACAAACAAACAAACAAACAAAACCCTCCTAAAGTCGGGTAGTGGTGGCACATGCCTTTAATCCCAGCACTTGGGAGGCAGATCTCTGTGAGTTCAAGGCCAGCCTGATCTACAGAGTTCTAGGACAGCCAGGGTTATACAGTGAAACCTAGCTTTGAAAAACAAAACAAACACAAAAGAGAGAGAATGAACAACAAAAATAAAGCATTTTAACACCTTAACAGTTGAATCTATAAAGAACATGAATTTTTCTTCTCAGCAGAGAGAGTGACTGTAAAAGCACTAAGTAAGACTGGGAGGAGGCACACCAGGCTTCCAGCCCACATCTGTGCAGCATCTTCTGGGGCCCAGTAAAGGTTCCTGGGCAGTAAGCTGCTTCAGACTTCTACTCTCCAGACCTTCAGGTAGGCAGGGGAGATCAACCTCAGCTGGCCGTAGCCAGTCCTTTCTGTGGAATACCCAACTTTGCATCGGGGCACTGGTGAGCAGGGACACTAGGCCACTGGCCAAACAGGAGAGCTCACTGGGGAGTTGCTGGGCCCTGTACTAACTCCATGCTTTCTACTCACAAAAGCAGGCCATCAGTTCCTGGCTGAGCGGGCTGCCAGCTGGCCCGACTGAGGAGCAGATTTGAGGTGGGGTGAGGGTCTGTTCCCCAAGCACAGTGTTCTGGCCAGTGAGTTCTCTACACAGCAGCTGACGCCTCCTGGACATATTTCCATACAAAATGCCTGACTGTGCTCACTCCTGTACTCTCAGGGCCAATCAGTGAAGACGTCTATTTTATTTATTTATTTAGGGGAAGGTTATTTCTTGTCCTAGGAATTAGATGGGCAATTCTAGTGTTCTTCATTCACTTAAGAGGCTAATTTTAAGGCCACACACCCTGCCTATTGAGAGTGAGTAGGGTCAATGACAAGATCTGGGATGGAGCTGAGCACAGAAAGGAGCATTCTGAGATGTGAGTGGATTCAGAGTCAGATGCAGGATTATGCACTAGTGAGAGTCTGTGTTCTAAGGGCTTGAGGGGGGCAGTACTGGCTAGATTTACGTCAACTTGACACAGCTATAGTCATCTGAGAGTAGAGAATCTCAGTTGGAAAAGTGACTCCATAAGACCTGGCCGTAGGCAGGCCTACAGAGCCTTTTCTTAGCTAATGATTGGTGGGGGAAGACCCAGCCCATGGAGGGTAGTGCCATGCCTGGGATTGTGGTCCTGGGTTCTATAAGGAAGCAGGCTGAGCAAACCATGAGAAATGAGCCAGTAAGCAGCACCCTCCATGGCCTCTGCACCAGCTCCTGCACAGTTTGAGTCCCTGCCCTGACTTCCTTCAATGATGGACTGTAAGTAGAAGTATAAGCCAAATAAACCTTTTCTTCCCCAAGTTACTTTTGGTTGTGGTGTTGTATCCCAGCAGTAATAACCCTGAGACAAGGGTCTCCGGCAGGATGGCTCGGGACTCTGAATGGGCCTTTAGGTACAACAGAAGGCCAGACAATGCCTGAAATAATACAACTGACTAATCACTTATAGAATTTCTAAAAGTAATGACAGTCTAGATGAGATACAACCCAGAGAATTTAGTTTTGGTGTTGACTGTGAACAGGAACTCAGGACTCATGGCTAGAAGTCAAGGGTAAGGACAACTCACAGAAGTCTATTGACAATGAATGTCACAAACAGACCCAGAATTGCTTAAATACAGATTTATTGCAAACCAACACCGAGGAGCCAGAGCAGCTTTGTAGGCCGGACACACAACTCTCCTGGGTCTTTGGACAAAGGGGATGAAATCACCCTGCTTTCCTCAGACCTCAGCAGGTGGGATTTAGAGACCAACTTGTGGCTGTCATGTCTAAAAAGAGAGAACAGGCAACACGCCAGCTTCAGTGGGTGGGTGAGCCAGGGCAGTTCCTCAGGGCAAAGAACTATCTACTTGGCTGGCTGGGATTGAGCCCCACTGTGATGAAGACATGTGGATATGGTAGCCACTACCACACCGTGTACCATAACATGCCACAGGGATCACACACAGAGGACAGGTTCCTGCCATATGGCCTACATCTAATACTATTCCCCAGGCTGCTTTTTCTACACTGGCTTGTTTGTTGAAACAGGGCAGGGACAAATGAGAAATGCAATGCAGAAAATAAAACCATGCCAAAGGGAGATAAGTTGCCACAGAAGTGAAATACTGTCCCAAATAAAAAGATGCAGGGCTCACCCACTACATTATTCCTTCTGGAAGACTACCCACAGGATGAGGGTTGAGAGCGAGCCAACTAGGATTACAAAGAAGACTGGAGATACATACACACCATGAGATTTCCTTCATTAGGTGGGACAGCTTGCATGGGACAGGGATGTGCAAATCCTAGGACTTTAATGGAAATGTGGCAGGCAGGGGCGGGGACGGGGAGGAGTAGCAAAGGTGTCCTGGGGATCTTCTGAATGTGACAGATTCTTCTCCCCTAGGGTGATCACTTCAGAGATTTCATCAACTTGGTGGCCAATGTCCAATCACAAGTTCATACTCCAGAGTGGGTATTTGTGGCCCAATGCTCTCCTTTGACCACCACTGTGGCCTATCTGGACCCACAGATCAACTCTCAGTATGGACTTCTTACAAGAGCCGTCAGCTACTAACTGTAAACCAAAAATTCCTCAAATGACTGCAATGAACCAGTTCCTGTCTACACAGTTGACAGAAAGCTTCTCAAAATAAGTCCTCAACCTGCTCTTCCAGTGGCTCCTTCCAAACATGTGAAACCACACTCGGCAGAGGGCTATTTCCAGAGGGCAGGCTGCCTGGCTTCAGTGGGTCTTAATTCTCGCTGGTTGTATGGTTACTTGTCATACAAAAACCTGTACACACACACCAAGACTAAGAGGCAAACTGAGATGGCAGGAAGCAACAGGCACAGACAGAGCCCTGTAAAGGGTTGGGACACCTGGGTCCCTGTCCCTTGATCAGGTCTTCATACCCTGGCTGAAGGTGGTCTGCAGCCACAGAGGCGCTGAGCTCCAGGAAGCAATCTGGTGATTGGCACAGGGGAATCTTCATTTTCTTGGACTCATTTGTAGTTGCCTTCAAGCCAGTGGGTAAGTTTTCCTTCCTGAGGCATCCTTCAAGGTCAAGGCTGCTTAGGGAGTGTGATAGACACAATCTGCCAATGAACTACTAACATGCTGTGATCTTCTCTTGAAGGTACCAAGGCTTCAATGCAACGTATCCAAGAGGAGGTCTTGTAGGGAGCAAGTAGTGGTGGCCAGGCTCGTTTCAAGAACCAAAGTAAGGTAGCTGCAGTCAGAAGGCAGACAGCATCCTTGCCACATCTGGGCCAGGGGCCAGAACCTCAGACTTTCTCCCATCATCTCCAACAGGCAAATAGACCCCAGTTTCTGCTGCTCTGCCCATGAAGCTGAGGCTGGCCAGGTGTATTCACAAAGAGATGAGCAAGACTGCACACACACACACACACACACACACACACACACACACACACAAAGAGGTCAACAAGTGGGTCCCACAGCAGCCCTAGAAGTAGCTTCAGAGCCATGCTCCATCTGCCCTCATGCAAGTGCCTGGCCCCACACTCTTCAACTTAGCTGTGCCTGAGAGCCCAGCCATTCCTTATCCCCAGTCAGAAGACAAGCAAGCAGAACAGCGTCAAAACAACAGCAAGCAGAGAGAACAGGGGAGGAAGGAAATGTTGCCTGCAGTGGCTGGTTGCTGTGGAGACAGAGCATGTGCTCCCAGTTTGCTGGGACATGTCCCTCCCTAATTTCAAACACCTTCATTTAGTGTTGGCCATTGAGACTGCCAGGCAGCAGCTGGCCCTGTACCTTCTCTAAAATAGTCTGAAGGTGCAAGGTCAGCATGGAAGGCCTGGTTCATCATGAAAGAAAAAATAGTGAGGATTGATCAGGAGTGAGTCCCTGGCATGCAGGGAGTGAGGGGGACAAGGTCTCCACCTCCCAGATGATGAGGGTTTCCTTTCCTTCTGGTCATTAAAACTGCACAGCCCCGGGGGAGATGTTGAACATGGCCGGGTCGAATCGTTGGCCTCGGAAGGGAGAGCCTTCAGCATCCCACCCCTTCTTCAGCATCTCATGGACTTTCTATAAACAGAAAATAGAGAGATTAACGGAGGTCACAAGGCACTGCATGCTTTCTCCTAGAACAAACTGCCTGTAGGCACAGAGCCATGCTGCTTCCTCGGGGCTTGAGGACTTGCCTGCTAGGACCAACTGGCCAGAGGACTGAAGACCCTGCAGTAGTTTGTGCCCAGTGACTGCCAACTCCTTTGCAAGACTGTTCTCCCAAGACTGAATTTTAGCTTTCCAGCTTCGGTGTCCAGTGTAAAGCACTGACTGGTCTTTATGGTTCATCTTCTGTCCCTTTCCAAATTCTTTCTGTTCAAATTCCATACAACCCACAGAACCTACAGTAATTTCCAGGGAGATGATTAAGATATGAAGGGGTGGTGCCTCAGCCCTTTAGGAACATGACTAAGGTGTGCAGAGGTGTTCTAGCACCCCTTTCCCAAGGAAGGAAGTTCTTGTCATTGAGAAATGCATCATTAGACAATATAGGTTTGATCCAAAATGTGATATTACAGAAGAGGGGAGAGACCTGAACATGTCTAGTTGTAGAAGTGGCACTCAGAAATGCCCTACTGCCTTTTGAGGATACAGTAAGAGCTGATGGACTCAGCTCCTCCCAGCCTATGGCCACTGTTGAACTTTGAAGGTCAGAGGCAGACTGGAGTTGTGTAGTTACAGCCAGGACAATCAGGGAGGTGGTGCCCCTGAGGGTGGCACCTGTGCCTATGCTGAGGGCCTAGCCTTCCTCTGAGCATCTGCCTTCCTGAGCTGCTACCACAAATGTACCCAAGGACAGGGTGACCTCCCCTTCCTTCCAAGCACAAGAAACCAAGAAGACTAACAAGATACATGGCTAGAGATTACCCCCAAATGGAGTACCTGTTGCAGACAGTCCCATAGAATGGGTACAGAGGACACATGCTGCTTCCTTTATCACAAAGATGATAGATTGAAAGCAAAGTGGAAAATTTCCACTGTCAGCAAAGTTACTGGATCCTCGGAACTATGGACTGTTAAACAAAATCCAAGCTTCCTGCTAAGAAAGCTTTTGCTTGTTTTTAAACCTAGGTGAAGTAGCAACAAGCACATCAAAGATACCTAGTGCACAGCAGGCTTCTGTCTTTGCCCAAGAGAAGTGCGATGCTGTACAGTCTCTAACAAATGCAAGATGAGACCAGTCAGATAACCTACACAGAAGGGAGATTGCTGAGCCTCTCAGCAGAGCCTCAGCCTGCTGCAGGGTGAACAACAACAGCTCTAAGAACCTGGTGGCTGGATGGGGATCCACTGTAGGAAGCCCAGAGGGCAAAGGGCAGGCCGCTACATTTGTTTTCACAATTGAGGGAATCCATGACATCCAGATAAATGTTTGGTCCTTTCTGCAGAACACAGGTAGCTATCAGACCATCCTGTGTGCCATCAAGTTCAGTCACAGGAAATGCTGGCACCTGCCTGTGTAATGTCAGTCACTGTTTGTTAGGGGATAAGTGCCACCAGAGTGGAGGGATCCTAGACAGACACATCTAAGTACAGACAGAGCAACGGCACCTGTGTACTTCTACATACCCCTTCTAGGTGCACCTGTTCAAAGCAATTTAACTAGGGAAAAGATGAAGAACATTCCATTTGTTGACTTTGGAAAGAAGTGACATAATGGCAACATTAAAGAAGTCAAATGACAGAAGAGGTATAGTACCACTTCAAAATTAAAATGCTTCAAAATACAAAGCATTGGTGGCATTAGAAGCACAATTTAAAATTCTGGCAAATTTAGAAAACTTCAAGTTTACACCATAAATGGGCATCAATACAGAGCACATTGGTAACTGTGACTGCCAATGTGCATAGCAGATGGAGGCTGATAGAAGAACCTGGCCCCATTTCCATTCTCTCTCTCTCTCTGTTAGTTAGGACTGGCAATCCTAGAGAAGTGACCTCAAACACCCATGAAACCCCTGCATATGAGTATTGGTTGGTTATGTGGTTAACGTGCTATATCAGGAAACACAAGGCCATGGATCTCTCTGTCTAGTTCTGTCTCTTTGTTCAATAAAAGAAGGTGCTAAAGATATTTTACATGGAACCCTAGAGTGCCGTACACTAAAGATATATCTCCAAGGCATTTCAAGCCTACAAAAGAGCTAAGACTTCAGCATCAACACCAGGCAGGTAGTGGGACATGCTAGAGTTAACACAGCCCAAACATCTACAGGGCTGTATCATGATTATCCATAGCTAGAGGCTTCCTTGGCCATCCTGATTAGTTCAGCTCTGGTGAGGGAATCACACTGGATTCCACCCATGCACTCTTGCTGGGGCACCTCATCTGGGCAAGTACACTCATTTCCTCTGTGGTCCTTGACAGGTCCGTGGCAAGTTCACAGCACAATCAATTTAAACTCAAGACAAAGCTCTTTCCATTAGACTATAGCATCTTCAGGGTTTTTCTTAGGGTCCTTCTTAGCTGGGTTGTTGTTCAGTCTCCTCAGTTTCTCAGTGCTGGGTCATAACCAGCTGTGTGGAAGCTGCACATCAGCTACGGACAAGTCTTCTATGCACAGTTGTAAGGACCTCCTGTTCCACACTCAGGGTTCTGCAATGTCTTGTGGGCAGAGGGTAGTCTTCATAGAAAGCCAAATCAGGACACCCCCAAATCCTCGTCTTTGTAGTGAGACAGCTTCCTAGCAGCAGGTCACACATGGGATGCTACATTAAGTGTGTATGTTCACAGTGCACATACATGATGTTTAGCCCTGTTATCTTTTGACCCTTTTGCTAGCCTGTTTCAAACTGGCAGTGAGGATCCTGGAGACCAGAACTTTCAGAGAGCTGCCTTGGTTTACTGGAGATAAGTACAGTCTTGGAGTACAGACCTGCTGGCTGGGAGGTAGCCATCAGAACAAGGAGGCCTAAGACCTACAGGGATGGAAACAAAGCAGCCAGTCCCTGCAGAGGGCCATTGTTGAGACTGAAAATCAAGGTTGAACTGTTCTCTGGATAAGATCAAAGAGGCTGGCCTCTTAACAACTTGAAGACGGTTTATATGCCTGCCCTCAACTGATGCAGACTAAATATTTTCCATCTGTCCTTGAGGAAGGTGTCAGTAGGCCATGCCAGAGGGCATCAGCACCACAGGAAGAAAGGAGGGCTGTGTATGCATGAAAACAATGAGTGCAAGGATCAAGGGGAAGGAAGAAGACAGGGAGACAGGGAGCAAAGAACCTGACACATCATGCAGATCCTGAACTGCTAACTCCCAGACAAGCGTCGCTGAGGATGTTGACTTGCGTGTACTGCAAGGGATGTGATCCCAGGGGCCCTAAGAATAAGAGGTGCAAACAGTTGTAGAACCTTCTAGCTTTTCTAATATCTCATAGTTACAGTCTATAGAAGACTTGACTGAGGTTTGGCTAATGCACAAAGGCAGTTCAAACCACAATCAATATCCAGTGCTTCTCTACAACAAAGACTCAGTCACGGCATCTGGGGAAGGTATAAAGAGTCACTCATCCTTGGTCTCTCCATTCTGCACCACAAACTTGTCAGCTGTACTTGGCAGCTCCTCCTCCTGCCTCACTCAGGATGACGGTATCTGCATTCACTGCTCCACTCAAAACAGACTCTTCCCTGGCAGTCACCTTACATACACATCTGAGTCCTTTTGTGGACAAAGTTCTGACCCTTACACAGGAGTGAGCAGATCCATAAGGCAAAGGGTCATAGATAGACTTTCTGTCCAGTGGACACAGGCCAACAGGACCAGATTACACTGTAACCAAGTAGGTCTGGCTATCTCTGCTAAAGTAAGGGCTCCAAGCTTCCTAGCTGCTGCCTAAGGACCTCTGTGTTACATGGACCCAAAAAGACATCCTTCTCACCCCACTTGGGACCAGGACAGATAAGTAAACCCCAGACCCACTGTTAAAGCTGCTATGAGGTACAGTACATACCAAGACATCAAAAACTCAACCTCTTCATTGTGAAAACCAGATCATCTAACCAGGCTGCTATGCAGGGCCTACAGTCAGTCAACCTACCCTGCCCATCACAGGATATGCTCGTGATATGTCCTGGTATGGCCTGGGGGAAGAGGTAAAGACACCAGTACTGCCTCCAAAGGCTTCTTGACCTTACTCACAGGAAACATGTCCATGAAAACAGACTACAGTGGCTAATGAAGCAACATGGTGTATCAAAGACCACTGCTACTCTGAAGGGAAGGATGGGACAATTCACACAGACCAAGAAGTGAGGCTCCTTCAGAGACAACAGGGAACACACATGAACTTCTCTAGAGTCCTGAGGGCTGCTTTCTGTAGAAAGCCTACACCCAGTTGCTGATCCCTCTCTAAGCCACGCCTGATCTATACACATACAAGCTTAGGTACCATGTGGCTGGGCATGTGACAGTGAAAAGAACCTGAGGCAAAAGCCTTTTCTCCGTAAGTAGCTACTCTCAGGGTTCCTATGAGGAAGAACAAATGTGTTTATCTAAGTAATCACTCTCTGGCACCAGCAGCCTGTCCCTGGGCACTATGCAGGTCAGAGCCTTTGCTCTCCCACAAGCTGCGGAGCTCACACTTGTTACAGCCCCAGCCCCAGCACTTTACTTCATCAACCTACTGACTTGCTCTGCATTGGTTCTTGTAGTCAGAACCTAAGCAGGCCCTGCAGCCTGGCCGTCCCTCCTTCCATCAATGGGGCTTTTAGGCTCCATGGGAAGCCGACACTAAACAGTTCTAGGCTATGGTGTAGTTAGGGCACATGTAGAGAAATTCTCAAGGCTGTGATGCCAGAGCTTGCAGCTCAGGTATGAGTTGTGGCTGAGTAGCAGTATGTACCTACCCTCAGGTAAGGAAGAGATGAAGGAGCAGTGGGGCTTTCCTAGGTAGGACATCGTAGAACTGCAGCAGAGACTAAGTCAGGACTAGCCTATCTTCATGCCTTCTTCCCCACCAGCATGACCCACCCGCCTGCTGATGGTACAAGAGAGCCATGATGCTCATACCAGCTCATGGCTCTGGGGCTTGCCCTGCAGCTTCTGATGGTAGTCAAAGGTGAGTCTGTCCAGGACTGCCTGTTCCTCCTCATCCACAGTGGCCATGGAGCGCTCCTTGTTAATCTTGTCAATGTCGATAGGCTCTTCTCCCTCTAGGATCGCACTCCACCAGTACTCGCCAACCTTGCTCAGGTTCACCTGGGACAAGCAGGAAAAAAAAATTGTATCAAGTATGGCAGGAAACAGCCCAAACCACTAGGGAAAGAATACTTAGCACTGTAAACAGGGCAGACTAAGGGACAGGCATACTGTACCGGGGACAGAACAAGGTATGAGAGGGGCAGATATCCCAGGTTGAGCTTAAGACCTGCACAAAGGCAAGGTGGCTATATGAGTAGACATGAGATCATCACACACAGGAACCTCTGAGCCAGAAGTCATGTTGACACTTAAGGAGTCCTGTATCCTATAGATCTTAGTCCTCAGAATAAGCATACTGTCTACCACATGTGCCCACTCTTACTAGGCAGACGTTGTTTTCTAAAATCCTCTGATCCCAGAAGGACCTGGCCCTGGGCTTTCCCACACTGCTTCATCCCCACCATGGAGCACTCTTCATGGTAATAAAGCCTTTGTCCCTGCCCAGCTCAATCAAGTCCCTCCCTTTCTTCCAAGAGCAACACTCAATCTCCTGCTGCTTTTAGGAGAGGTGGGATCTCTGAGACGAAGGGTGTGGCCTAATACATGAATCTCCCAAAGATTCCTCCTGTGACTAGGGGTCCAGGTGCTTGTCCTTCTTCCTCCTTGGTACTTACAGGAGTCCTCCAGCCCCAGTCCTTGACTTCCAATGGTTCAGAGAGGAACCCAAGAGGAGCTGAACTCAAGCTTCAGGATAATCTAGACACACTGTGGTCAAGCAAAATAGCACCTATCCAGTATCATGCAGCAGCCCTTATATTGGATCAGATGATCACAGAAACTCAAAAGTCAAGTGGAATTTCAGCAAGAGTGGAACAGAGAACATCAGAGCATTTTGCAAAACTGGTATTAAAGGCCATAGCTGATTCTGTCACAAGGACACAGTAAATAAGATGCAGGACACACCATTCTCCAAGGCTACTGGTCAAAGGGACACACACAAGAAACTGGAGGCATTGGCAGTATCCTTCATGGTCACTGGCTGGGTTCATCAGGAAATTTTTAGCACAGTGAACCAAGGTGTAATGTTTGCCCACACTGCATGACGACTCTGACAGGATAAAACAGTTCAGTGCTCACAGAGGGAGTTAAGTATAATTGGAATTTTCTTTGGGATACAAAACAGCTCCCAAATAAAGACACACAGACATTATTAATTATGAATGCTCAGCCTTAGCTTAGGTTTGTCCCACTAGTTTTTTCAACTTGATTTAACCTGTTTCTATTCATCAACTTTTGGACTTAGGGATTTTTACCGTTCATTCTGTATGTCCTACTTTCCTGCTTCCTCCATGTCTGCTGGCTGGCTCCTGCTCCCCACCCCCCCAGCCTGAATCCCTTCTCCTTCTTACTCCCCCTGCTTCAAAAGGCACACCTGTACTTCCTCCCTCACTATTGGCCGTTCAGCTTTTTATTAGATCAATCAGGTGCCTTAGGCAGGCAAGGTAAAACAGCAACACATCTTTACATAGCTAAGGGCTGCTAAGCCTGACCTGTAGAACCTTGGTGTTGGCTCACAAGAATACGACTATCTAAAAGGACAGGCTGGAGATACAGGAACATTTAGTGGAGGTTTCCAGAAACGACAAAAACAACTAAAAAAACCTGTGTGATAGCCAAAGTGCAAGGGAACAAAAATAAGGAAGAAGGGCTGGAGAGATGACTCACTGGTTAAGAGCACTGGCTGCTCCTCCAGAAGATCTGGGTTTGATTCCTAGCACCCACATGGCAGTTCCCTGTGAGCATTGCACACATTTGATGCATTGCACACATCTGGTGCACAGACACACATGCAGGCAAAATACCCATATACATAAAGAAAAGAAAAATACTTTTAAATAGGGGAGAGCACCTGCCTATGGTGGCAGCTCCATCAGTAAATGACTTCTACTGTTTGGTCCCCAACTTAAAACAAAGCTATTCTAGATATTCCAGCCCTCTGGCCCAAAACTGATACGCAATTTACAAGGTAGGAACCCTGAATAAGCCCCTGAAACTCTTTTGCTGAGAATTCTGCCCTGTCTTTACCAAGCTTGAGGGGTGAAGAACCTTCAAGCAGGAAGCTTTCTCTAATCCAGAAGCGTTTTTGAGGTGATTACACAACTGTAAACTGCTGGAAAGAGAGCCTTTTGTCTGCATGAATGACAATCATGAGATGTACAGTAATATACTAGCAGAACTCCCAGGCTCTGCAACATACACACTGTCATGCTTATTTAAGATGAAGATGAATCTCTTAAGTGAGGTGGAGCCTCCTTCAGCTACCAGCCCACCAGCAGCACTGCAGGGGGCAGACAGAGCACGTCTGCAGATCAGTCATTGCTAGTAGACCTTTGTCCAGCACACAGACCAGACCCACCTCCATCGCCAGGTCCACACAGATGCTCAGCTCTACAGCTCCATGGGCACGGTTAAGAGTGGAACAGGACAAATCACTGGTCTGCCCCACAGGAGAGAGTAATTATAGCTCTCTGCCAAGAGTAGGGGAGAGGCTGGCTCACTTTTAAGTCTAGAGTGGGGGGGATGGGTGGGGCTCATCCCAAGCCAGGTCCACATGTATACTTAGCAAATCTAACAAAATTCATGATGAATCCTATCCCTTTTATCATTAGAAATATTTTATCTGTGTTTAATTTCACAGAACATCTAACTACAGGATCATCATCAAGTTAATCCAAAAATTCTCAAAGGTTTTTGTAGCAGTAAGGATCACACTTGGGCATCTTGCACACCAGACAAGTGATCTACTATGTGCTACATTCCAGCTCTTTGTGTATGTGTATTTGCTGCATGCACATGAGTACAAGTGTACATGCCTGTATGTACAAGTAGAGAACAGAGGATGCTGGGTATTCTCCTTTACTGCTCTCCACCCTATGAAGTTAGGCTAGCCGGCCAGTGAACTCCTGGTATCTGCCCCCACTCCCCATTACAAACAAACCACGCCTGGTATTGGAGATATATATATCTCCATATCCCACAACATGGACGCTGGAGACTCAACTCAGGTCTTCATGCTTGCACAGCAAGTGCTCTTATCCACTAAGACATTTCTCAAGTCAGAGTCAATCAGTCCCCTCCCCGGCTCCCAATTTTTTGAGACCGAGTTTTTTCGTATGTAGTCCAGGCTGGCCTTGAACTCATAATCTCATGAGAACTAGGATTAAAAGTATGTATCATCCACAACAACCAGCCAAAAGATTTTAAAACATCTTTAATTAAAACAAAAACATTCCTCAGTCAAGTGTGCATGTCAAATGTCTAAGTGGATGTTACTAGAAGCTGAGGGCTACTGAACATAGTTTCAGCCACAGTGGTAACAGGTACCACCCAAATGTATCACTTATTTATACTGGTAAAAGATGGCAGCCACCTTGTTTTAAAAAAAATTTTTTTATTGTGAAATTCACATAATAATTCAATGGCATTTGGTCATCCACAGTGGTACCCAACCTACCACCACACATCTGTATCCTGAAACATTTCCATCACTCCAAAAAGAAGTCTTGTACCCAGTGGTATACTCTTCATTTTACCCTAATAATTTCTCTCTCCCTGCCCATACAACTACTAATGCTTTTGTCTTTTTGAATTTCACACAAGTGATATTTCACTTTGTGTCTGGCTTATGTCACTAAGTATAATTTTTTTTTTTTTTTTTGAGGAGCATCTGTGTTACAGCACGTATCAGAACTTCATTCTTCTCCACGCTGAACAACATTCCACTGAGTGAATTTATCACAGTCTATTTATCCATTTTCTGTTGATGGATACTTCCCCCACCTTTTGGCTATTGTGAATAATGCTACTTGCATGGGTTCCTATTTTCAATTCCCTTGGTATTTACCTAGGTAGGAATGGAACTGCTGGGTCACTTGGTACATCTACTTCATGTTTCAAGAAACTACCAGATTGTTTCCCACCAGAGCTGTGCCACTTCCACATCCTGGCACTGCACAAGGCAGGGCTTCAGGTCTCTACTCCCTCATGGACATTTGGGATCCATTTTCAAGGTTGTGGTAGCCTACTTGTTATCCTTCTGCCTAACTACATGAAAGCATACAAGCTCCAGTACCTTCCTCGGTGACTTCTTTTCTGCTAAGGTTCAGGCTGCTCTTGGTGATGGGGCAGCAGACAGCATCAAAAGTTCTTGGAAAGCCCAAGATGTCATTTCCAAAAATTTTTTAATATTCTGAGATTATTTTCTCCTGCTCTGATTTTAAGGATAAGCACATCAGTGAAAGAGTAAGTAAGGCTGTATGGTTAGTGTGACAATTATCTTCATCCTTCATTGGCCTGGCCTCCTTTTCCACAAAGCTTCCTTGGAGCATTTCATGTCCTGCTCTGGCTCCTTACCCTCACACCCAGGACCTACCCATGTCCCAGAAGTCTTAGCTGACAAGTTCCTCGAACATCACTGACTTCCTTGGAGTGCTACTTCTAGGGAACTTAGGAAAGATACTTTGGGAACCTAGTCTTCCAAACAAACTACTTCATGTGGTTAGAATACACACAGTCTCCAGGGGTAAGGTAGGGTATTCTCAACACTGAAGACAGAACCAGAGTTGGGTGAGAACAGAGGAGAAACACTCTTTTAAAAAGACTTCAAGGGTTCCTGACCACACCCTGACAAAAGTCTTCCCATGGTTTGCTTAAATTAAATGTTTTTGTTGTAACATTTTGTTACTTTCTAACAAGTCAGACTTGTGGAGGTGTAGTTTGCACACAGTAAAACTCACCCCGTTGCAGTTTCATCTCCTCAAGCCTCCACCACAACCCACTCACACCCAGCCCCTCCTTCCACTTCCGTCCGCATTGCTCATCTTGCAGTCCATCTTGTCCAGGTGCAGGATGTCTTCTCCACTGAACCCACAGCTTCTGGGCTTGTACACATTTAATTCTGGATCCTATGGGCTATGACGCTTGGCCAGACTATTCCATGATGCAGGTGATCACTATCTGTCCATAGCCATGTAGGTGTTCCTAGGGTCTGGCAGTTA